GACATGATTGTCATCATATAGCTGGAGTGCATTCTAAATTCAGATTTTCCGGGTTAGGTAGGTTTATGTCTGATTCACACCTCAGTGCTGAGAATGAGATCCCATTATGAGGAATGTTGAACACCACCTCTTCGGTTGGAAAGCATGCGCCACACTTCGGCAGAGTCCTGCACCTACATGCTTCTTTATGGTGCTAGAAATGAAGGTTTTGCTTTGGCCAATGCTTTCAACTATGAACGGTCCAAGATCAAAAAGTCTCTATGCCGCACTCAGTGTTTCCTTTGTCTCTCCTCTAGCAGTCTGGATTCTTTTTCATTGTAATGTATTTCCTTTATTTTGTTAAGACAGTCCATGTGTGTAAAAAGCCCGAGGCATTAAATCACACATAAAAATTCAGTGTGTACTTAAAATATATATTTATATACATGTAAAAAAAAAAGGCCGTCCACGTTGCAAATAGTTACAAATATTCTAATTCCAGTGCTTGATGTAGAGCCAGAAGATCTGAATGACTTGATATTCTCCAAAAAGGCATGTTATTCTGCATTGAAATTAAAAAGGTAAAAATTATACTATAGGTACAATAGGTACCGCAAATAATAGCATTCCAGAGAGCAATCCAAGTAAAGAGAGCACCCTTATTCCAAATATACACTGTGTATTTACAGTTTTACCCACTTCAGCCACTTCTGTGATTTAGATACACTGAACAATTCAGCCCCAATACTACTTGAACAATTTGAAATGCAGCTTTAAAGTGGTTGTAAAGGCTCTAGGTTTTTTACCTTCATGCATTCTTTGGATGAAGGTAAAAACCTTCTCTGTGCAGCATCCCCCCAAGTCCCTCCTAATAGTCACCTAAGCCCCCTCTCGATCCAGCGATGTCCACTGGAGTCTTGGCTATCCTTGGACTTCCTCTCCTCATTGGCTGAGACAGCAACGGGAGCCACTGGCTGCTCTGTGCAAAACCACTGCACACAGCAAGTATAGATATGTTTGTTATTTAAAAAAAAAGAGTAAGCTTTTAGTATCACTTTAAGCTTTACCAGAAGCACTCCAATGCTCAAAACACCCATTCACACTTGACCATAGTGTCACTTGAAGCTTAAACCTTGTTGCATGAAAAAGTATATATGCTTCTTTTGGGGCAGATTCATAGGTTTTGGCCCTTGGCTAGCCTACTAGGTAACCTTCCATTGGCTAAGAAATCTGAAAACACATGCAAAAGCCTGCAAAGACATTTGTACAAATGCTAAACAATTAAAGACGCTCAGCAGAAATGTGAATGGGGCCTTAGTAAGTTCATTCTACTATTCCTAGTTCTTAATTACTGCTTTCTGGACAGGGAGACAAACACAACCAAGTAGCCAAGGAACATTCACCAGGTAAATGTATCACTGTGTTGCAGTGATTAGTGATCATGAAGAAAGGTGGATGATTCCAAAGCAGTGCTTCTCAAGCATCCAGCTGTAGACCACTTCTGAGTCCTGGCGTCCTTCCTTCTGGGCCTCTAGCCAGCTGCAGATCCCCTAACCTGCCATAGCACCTCCCAATCTTCATAGTGCCACATAGCCACATAGTGAGCTGCATTGTCCCTTAACCTCTCACTGTGACCGCAGCCCCCACAGTACTTCTGAACCTTCCACAGTACCCCTAGTCACCTCACTGTTCCCCTAGTTTTCGGCACAGCTTCCAGCTCCCCTTAGTGCCTCCAAACACTAAAAAAGTTGCATATTGCACCCTTGCCTCCACAATACACTCCAGTCTTTCACAGTGTACCTGCAAAGTCTCCAGTCTCCCAAAATGATCCCCAGCCTCCTCCCAGGGACCCCATCCTCCACAGTTGGCCTTACAGGGCAACCGAGTCTGCAGCAAAGCCCCCTAAGCCCCTCCACTACCCCATTCCCATACAGTGACACCCAGCCCCACCCAGAGTGCTGCAGCAATTCAATACATATTTTGTATTCCCATATGTTTACTGTGTAACAACTTGTTGTCTGCTGCTAAAAGACTTTCTTCTGCTATAAACAATGATCGCAGGTATAAACTAGGAGCTGGTAGCTATATTATGCCTAGCAAATAAATGGTAAAGTACTGTATTTCCACTCAGGACATCAGTCAAAAAAATTTGGTCTGAGGGGCAAATGCCACCCCTAGCCTTATCCTCCCCTGTTTCTGGATCACCTCCAATCTAACTGGACAGAGAGTATAAAGTTAAGTAATTGTCCAGTGAGCCGGAAGGAGAAAGAAAGATGGCACAGTAAGTTGCACTGCTGGAGCAAGACATAAGTGTGTGAACTGCAAGATTGTAATGTGGGGTAGATGTGCTTAAGCCCAAAGATTGGCTGTGAAAATCCTTTGGCAGGTAAAACAATTAAAGGATGTTGCTGATATTTAATTTGTTTTTTCAGCTGTTTGACTGAAATTCCACTTCAACTGTATTTTATGTAATCAATAGAACAAAGATACATCACCAACTCATTTTTTGGTTAATAAGACTTGCGCTTTAATAGTCACAGTAGGCTGTTAACATGCCTTGTTCTGTGTGGGGCATGTGACAACTGAGTCATAGTTTATTTTGTAACTAAATACTCATATGATTACTATGATTGACTGTTGCTGATATGCCTAATAATACACTGCATTGTTGTTACCCCTGTCTATATTGCATTAAAGATTTTAACTTGCTACATTTTATATGAATGTAGGTTCATGTGAGATTGTATTGCATCAACACTAGAAATCAACCAAGGCCTGACCATTTCAGCTATTTTGGTTTTAAAGACTGTTAAAGTACCATATAAATTAGATGGTGGTCATCATGCCTTGGATATTAAGAGAATCTCGTAAATCAACAAGATGGAACAGCATTAACAGAATGTGTAACTGATAAAATTACCAGGTTTTCAGGTTGCCACATACTGTATAAACTTCAGCCTGCCTATTAGTTACCTGAAGTAGTGCTGAAGTGGTGACATTACATATTTTCACAAGGAGGTTAGCAAAGGGATAAGCGGTTCAGCCTGAACATAGACTTGTGTAGCACCCTCCTAAGTTGCTAGGGTGAGCTAGAGTCCTTATTGTTAGAAAGGAGGGCTGAGTAACAGCTTGGGTGTAATAGTCAGGAGGTCAAATTGTGGTCAGGAGCTGAGAGGCGCTGCAGGCCAGCCTCTCTGGAATTTCCCCCTACTCTAGAGCTTTGGCGGAAGGCAGGAGGCTTGGGAGGGGGCTAGGACAACCCTTAAAAGTAAGTGAGCCTGCTCAGTTGCTGGAGAGTTTGGGTGGAAGACAGTGAGGAGGATGTGAGGCTGAGGGCAGGAGCCTTGGAGCGAGCCTAGATGGAGAGAGGGGCCCACCTAAAGGCAGCAGAACTTGAAAAGAAGAAAGCTCAGAGCTTCACTGGCCCCTGGAGCGAGGACTACCTGTTCAGCAGGGAAGGAGCGGCCCAGCTAGAAGGCAGCCACCAACCCATCAGTGGTACAGGAGAAAATCTGAAACCAGATTCACCACCAACCTGGAACTGTCCATTTCTTAAAGTGACAGAAACCGGATCCCCTGTTCAGGGATACCTGCAGATTGCTGGGTGAAGGAAGAGGAGTTCATCTAGGGTCTGGGGTAGTACATTGGGAGATGCTGGCTAACTCTTCAACAGAGACTGTGTTACAGTGAAGGTTTGTAAATAGTTTCAGGAAGTTGTCCTCGGTTCATCAGTTCCTTTGGACATCCTGTACACCCCTAACCTTATCCCAGTTCAAATCCCAAAAATAAAAATAACAAAAAACAAAGCTCAAGGGCTGATTTCTGACTCTGGATGCAAGTCTATGTGAAGATTGATGTCTCCTGGTTGTGCAGGATTATAGGGGGACCCGAACTCTCTTTGCAACTCCTAAGAGTGTAGTGCTACACTTGGATGTAACTTTGTTTTTCTTATATGACAGCTTCCTTCTTTTGCTGTGAATGGTTGTCAAGGAAGCAGCAGGTGCTGAAACCTGCCATATCCTTTGCAGTCAGTGATGTCCTCTTATAAGCAAAGAAGGGGCATTGTCTTTGGATTTTGCCTCTGTTTTACACTCTCCTACCTTCTGTCCTGAATGGGCATTGTCTCTGTTTTACACTCTCCTACCTTCTGTCCTGAATGGGCATTGTCTTTGGATTTTGCCTCTGTTTTACACTCTCCTACCTTCTGAGCCTTAACACTGGCCCATCGTTTATGTTTAAGGGACAGCCTGGTTTTTATAGCTTCCAAGATGGCTTGCAATGTGCCTGCTGCTTAATGTAAGTGCTATTTTCTAGTTATTGCTGTGAGTTTCATGTTTATGTTTAACTATAAGGGATAATAAATCACATTATATTTTTTTATTTTATCAGTCAGTTTTTGGGCACATTGTGCCTGGTGTTCTCCTAAACCCCAACAAAAATCTAAAGATTGTAAATCAGTTCTGTTCCAATTGTGATTTATGGATTCATATTTCAAACTGACAAACAGAGGTGGTACACCAAGTTAGAGTAGCTATCTATTATGAATAGCATCTAGACAGGAACTAAGCTTAAAGTATATCTAAAGGCAAAACCTTTTTTTTCCATTTTGATTAAAGAAGGGTTTTTTTTTAAAACTATACTTTTTTTTCCTGTTGTCTTATTGGGGAGATTTCCATGCACATGCAGTCCTGTAAACCCAAGAGGAGGTCAGAGGATATCATTCCAATGTGAGGGAACTTCCATCTTAGACATTTGTCCCAAGAACAAGTGTCCCCCTCTATTCTTGTTCAGGTGGCAACTACAAATCTTTGATTTACCCTTAATTTCATTCCTGGCAAGCACTGCAAATGCAAAGCTCCATAACAAGGACAAAAACAGTCTTGCAGTGGATCTAACCCCTCACCACTCTATCCACATCTTGCCTTTAGTTAACGTTAACATTGCTCATCATAAAAGAGAAACATTTAAGGGTAAATCTGAGCTTAAAACCTGCCTTTAGAAACATTTAGCACAGAATGGCATTATTCTGATACATATACAAACACACAAATACAATGTGAATGGCACACAGTAAGACTTTTTACCTTTTTTGCTGCCTGTTCTTCTTCTACACCATCCCCAATTACAACATATACTACTTTTCTGCCAAACCTCTGTATTATGCGTTCAAAGCAACTTTCTTTCCCTGTAAGATAAATCACATCAGAATTCAGTTACCTGATAAGCAGCATTCTCCTCAGCTTGGGCACTCCCCACCAAAATATAAGTTACATAAAAGCCAAATCTGGCTGAAAACAACGTTCTTTGCCTGAGAAACAATGCAAGGCTTACTTCTTGGACTGCCTTGTCTATAGTCATTTACAGAGAATTTAACGACCAAGATTCCAACTCAAACTTGTGAGAAAACTGTCTGTAGGTCAGAAAATTAAAAAAGGTGCGCCTCATACACTCACCGGTCACTTTATTAGGTACACCTTGCTAGTGCCAAGAAAGTATCCCCCACACCATTGAGACAGGATGGATCCATATTTTCATGTTGTTTATGCCAAATTCTGACCCTACCATCTGAATGTCGAAGCAACCAGTCTGCCCATTCTCCTCTGACCTCTGACTTCAACAAGGCATTTTCATCCACACAACTGCAGCTCACTGGATATTTTCTCTTTTTTGGACCATTTTCTGTAAACCCTAACAATGGTTGTGAGTGAAAATCCCAATAGATCAGCAGTTTTTGTAATACTCCAGCCAGCCCAACAGACACCAACTACCATGCCAGGTTCAAAGTCACTTAAATCCCCTTTCTAGCCCATGCTGATGCTCAGAATTTCAGCAAGTCACATCTAGATGTCTGCATTGAGTTGCTGCAAATGTGATTGGCTGATTAGCAATTTGTGTTACCAAGCAATTGAACAGGAGTACCTAATAAAGTGGCCAGTGAGTGTATATGACAAAAATCCAAAAGGAAAGGTGGGGATTGTCCTAGGAAGTCACACACATTCCTTTTATATTTTTTATTCCATACTTGAGAATTAGCTTGAATTGGGATTGGCTGTTATGGGCAACACGTAAGCTACATCACATTTTGGAATTCTAAACTACATACTGTGTGGATTCAATGTTAGTGCACCCTTACTGCTATTCCTATTTCAAGTCAGTGGTTGAAATTCCGAGAGTTGAAGAAAGACAAAACTTGTTACTATAGATGATTGAATCTTAAGAATCCAGTTAAAAAATAATTATTTCACTTCGCAGTAATGATTAATAAAAATATAAACTATGAGGTGCTTTATTTTTCAGGCACAAACATAACAGATCATGTATGCCAAACTGATGTTTTTGGAGCCACATGTGGGCTTATAGCTACTTAGCAGTTCCCAACTTTTATAAGGAACCCATTCACATTATGGCATTCTGGTAATGCAGGGCAACATGTTGATGGATGTGTGTTGCACTGCCAAACATTTTTTTGGTAGCGCAGCACACTTCAACACATGTTAGTGTGTTCCCATGCACTGCAACATATATATGTCGCAAGATGTGCTTGACTGCAATTTTGGATGAATGGCACCGCTTTGCATCAACATATTTAAAGTGGAACTTAATAAATAAATAGGTATAAACAGGCAGGATTTTGAATTATATCTCTTTTGTGTTAAAGTATTATTATTTGCTTGTTCACAAAGTATGCTGAGCTGTGCATGAACAGCTCAGTGTACAATTTCAGCATCTGCTCAAATGAATTAGATCATCCCAGTCCAGTGAATCAAAATGGCCATAAATCAAAACCCAGAAAAAAAGATAATGTCAGCAGCCAAACAGGGTGCTCATGGACACCACATCTCTGGATTGGGGGTGAGTATAGTTCTGCTTTAGGCCCCTTACACATTGGGTGGACTCCATTGAGATCAGCAGGGGATCTGTCTGCTGATTGCCTGCTGATTAGAGCAGAGCGGGCGGATGAGCTATCTGTGTCCTCTCAGTTTATGCAGAGCAGACAGAAAAAGCCCACTCTGCTCTATGGGAGGCTGGAATAAATGGACTTTACTGTCCATATACACCCAACTGCCCTCCGATATGATCCACTTAAACGGAAAAGGATGGATCTCCTTTTTTTTAGTGGACCAGATCAGACCTGAGGTAGAAGGATGCAAAGTCCATTTACACCCATCAGTTCATAGGGGTGAATGGACTGTCCAATTAGGTCCGCCTGAAAAACAGATAGGTGGACCTGATTGGACACTATGTGTGAAGGAGCCCTTAATGTGCATTGCTGGGCCACTGGTGTAAACAATCCTTAAAAATCTTCCAGTTTAAAAAGCTAAACTTTCTTAAACATGTTTTCCCTTTGTCTTCCCAAACTTCCAAATCAATCCCAATCATAGTTTCGTCCATTAGAAAAAGAGAAGATGCCTAATTATTTAGTCTTTATTACATTTTTGCTGTGGTATTTTTTGGGTGTCCATACACTTTAACACATTGCAATTTTATTGCAAATGAACACACAAAAAGAACATGTTTATCATAATGAAAACAAAACTGTCTGGTATTCTGTTATTTAGCATCTTGTTTATTTCTATTTGAACAATAATTAAAGTTCTTACCTATTTTTGTTGCACTATAAATATTCTCAATTGGGAATACTCCTCCTAGACTATATAGCAAAACCTTTGAAAGTGCTGGAATAAGCTGTGTTGTCGTCACCAAGACATTGACACTATTACTCCTGAGAAAGAAAGAACATAATTTATATTAATTCAATCACATTATAATGCTAACATATTATACAGTGCCAATTATATCACTCTCTGTACTCAAAGATGCTTAAATGGTCTACTGTCTATACCATAGTCATACAGACAGGGAAACACACATTTTTAAATACAGACTAGAATCAATATGGGTGGAAACTGATTAACCAACCAGTAGACAGCAGTGATCATTGTATTGTGCCAGTGGGGAAGGCTCCCCATGCTTTCCCCTGGCAAGAAAGAAAATTACATAATGTATGGCCTGCCTAAGACTTTATGGACAATGGACTTTTTAATGGTGCTCTTAGTGGCATCTGGCTTTTTTTTATCTGTCTCTAAAAACCCCTGTATGTTAGCCTATGTGCAGTATATGGAGGAGCCTTAACATGGGCACTGTGGCTTCCACATACATCGCTCCTCACAAGACCTCCTACTTACTAGCTCCCTGGTCTCCTCCTCCTCACGCCCCAACTGCAGGACATCTCCAGGACTTCCTCTATCCTCTGGAACTCACTACCCCAATCCATCAGACTGTCACCTACCCTTCTCACCTTTAGGCACACCCTGAAAACCCATCTCTTCAGGGAAGCCTACCCCACCCTCACCTAACAGCCAATCTCCTCCACTCCTCCTACCACTCCATCCCCCACAGCCACTTCCTCCTGTGCCACTATCCCCTGCCTCCTAGATTGTAAGCTCGAAAGAGCAGGGCCCTCAAACCCCTCAAATACTGTTTTGTTACTGTATTGTCTCATGTACTGTCCCCCACTACTCTGTATAGCGCTGAGCAAACTTTCTGGCGCTATATAAATACTGTATAATAATAATAATATATTTGCAAATGTGTGCAACAAAACCCTCTGTTTTAGCGTGAATTGCTAGACAGGGTCAATTTGGTTTGCTTGCAGGCTAGCTGGTAAGTATATATTTGTGATGTGCGTTACCCTTTCCATGTGCACCATACTGCAAAGGCTAGTTATATATTGGGGTGGTTTTTTGTATAACTTGTTGGCTGATTTGGTGTGGGGACACACTTAATGCCTTCAGCTGTTATTATGCTCTTTCTGGGGGGTCCAATGTGTCCTTGTGCCTTTGAGGAGGCAAATCTGCCCTTAATTTAACCACTTGCCAATGTGCTCCAACTTGGAGACTCCAAAAAATATAGAGTTAGAACTGCAGTATACGGAGAAGCCTTGGAGTAGGTACTACGGCTTCCACATATATTTGCAAATGTGTGCAGTGAAACCCTGTTTTATCGTGAATTTTTTTTAGACAGGGTCAATTTGGTTTGTTTGCAGGCTAACTGGTAAGTGTGCTGGGAAATTTTTTTCTTGCTTGTAATGTTAGCCTTTGTGTTCATGCACGGGCCTTTATAGACAGAAAAAAAAACCCTACTGCCAGCGCGTTAAGGAGCAGTGGCAGCTTGGCAAAAAGAAAAGGCTTGACGCATGTAAATGCACGTCAACGTCAGGTGCATTTAGTGCTTGAGCATTAATTAATTTCATTGGCCACAATTAATATTCTAGCCAATAAAATTAATTAATCCCCAAGTGTTTGACAAACCTAAACAAGTTACACACATTTACATGTATTAAGTGTTTTTTTTTCTGCCAGAAAGCCACTGCCAGAAGGAAAGACATCTAGGAGAGATGGCCAAAGAGTCTTGTGTGCATGAGGCCTAAAATGTTAACTGTTTCCCACTCTAATCAAACTAAAAAAAAGGTTTGAGTGAAGCTTGGTTCCAACATAAGTTATCATCTCATCCATGTGTAAAATATAAAATACATAACTGCTCACTAAATATAACACGTTTAGAATATTTTGCATATATTTTTCACCTCATTTGTGTGCAATACATTTTACATATAAAATAAAAGCATGTTTCATCAGTTAATTTTGTTTGACTCAATAATTCTTACTGTAGTTTGATATATGAGTGCAGCTTGATTTTAGTCACTATGTTAAATATTTCTGGTGAATCTGCCCTCACATTATGGTTAAAGTAACCTTATATACTGTGTAAGACAACTGTTAAGGTATGACTAGGACACCCTTACAGCCACGTATGGTCACAAAGATTATGTGTAGCTCTAGAAGAAAAACACAGCCTACTATTGTATGCCCTGACCGCACTTGTATCTGCTTTAAATTAGTTTGGCAAAAATGTGAATTAGAAAAACAAGTCTTAAGTGACATTGTAACTGTGCATTTAGTGATGAAATCTAAACATACATTTTGACTTACCTTGTGTTAATGAGTGATAGTGATTTAAGTGCATTTGAGAGCCAGGAGTCTGTCAGGACTTCAAGATCTGCTCGCAATTGAAGCCAGGCCTCTCTCTTAGCTGGGCCAAAAAGTCCTTCAGCACAAACAGGCAGGAAATCATAGATTAAATGCTGCTTTCATGGAAATGTGAAATGTTTTCTTCCATTAAATTTTCCCCAAAATTATAAAAAAAAAATATATGATACGCAACCTTTTATTATGGGAGAATTCCTGATTTATTAGAAGGAAAGGGTCTTAGCTGAATGATAGCTTTGTGTATAATGAAATAGCACACAGTTATACACTTGGTGACCCTATACTAAATGCACAATTTATTTCCTTTATTGTAAAAAAAAAGAAAAAAGAAATGCTATAACTTGCACTTTGTGAATTTCCACTTTTAGAAATATTGCTAAATTAGCTGTTTTGGTTAAAAATTAGCATCCTCAGCCTTTTAATTATTATAAATATAACACAATAGCACACAATTCTAATTTGAAAAATGCCCGAAGAATAGCTCTTTCTAAAATGGGGTCAGGGTAAGCTCTGGTGTGCTGCAGCTTGGTCTGATTTAACAAAATAATAAAACTAATTGTTCTCAGTATACAGTATATCCTGCACTTAGTTCTTATGATTTACAGACACATGATTTTTAGACAGCAATTTCTAATCCAAATCTGTTATTGCTTCACAGGGTTTAGCACAGTTAGATCATACACATTATTGTGGGCTGGGGATAGTTCTTTGCAGGCCAGGACTACACTTTATTTCCAGACCATGGAACTGAATATATATCTACTATAAAGTGTATGTCCAGCCCAAACTTTTTTTTTTTTAAGTTTTAGAATGGGGAGGGGTAAAAAACACGTCAGGTTTTAGTACTATTTAGAGCTCTGTTAAAGAGACAAAGCCTCACTTCCTGTCCTGCTGACATCCTCCCAGATGGAAAATGAGGGAAAGTCTCCAACAGACATAAATAATGCTTTTCTTTAGTACAGAAGATAATACTAGATCCCCTGTTTGATATTTTTTACTGTATGTAGTCCCTGTTGCAAATTTACCATCACATCCTGTCTGGTGATATCCTTGTTAGCAATAAAAATGGAGGTAAATCTAAAGCCCAAATAATAATATCCTAACAGTAAATACAATCCTTCCTTATTATGTCCAAAACAAGGAAAAATGTATTTGGCTTTACATAATGGTATTAGTGTTTGGTTGGGCTGTCCTTTCTGAAAGAGCTGAACTTGTGCAGAGGAGAAGGTTCTACCTGAAAATGGTGTGGGTTGAAGAATGGATAGGGCACTAAAGCAGCCTTGGCCTATAAAGCTTACCATTATACATTGACAGATGTTGTCAAAGTTACATAGCCTTGGAGAGAAATACCATTATACCATTATTAGAGCTATAACTTGGTTTTAGGTTGCTGGGAATTCAAGAGGTGTAATTTTTGACTTGGGGGAAAAATCCATTCAGAGACTCAACTATGCATGAAAACATAGGAACTAGGATGCAAAAAAAAATGGCAGCAGGTGCTCTGAACTGATGAGTCAAAACTTGCAATATTTGGCTGCAGCAGGAGGCAGTTTCTTCGCCGAACGGTTGGAGAGCAGTACAATAATGGGTGTCTGCAGGCAACAGTGAAGCATGGTGAAGGTTCCCTGCAAGTTTGGGGCTGCATTTCTGCAAATGGATTTGGAGATTCCATGCCATGCCATCAGGGAGGTGTGTGATTGGCCTCAAATCTATTCTGCAACAGGACAAAGACCCAAAACATGCAGCCAATGTTATTAAGAACTATCTTTAGTATAAAGGAGAATAAGGAGTCCTGGAAGTGATAGTTTGACCCCCACAAAGCCCTGATCTCAACGTTATAGAGTGTGTTTAGGATTACATGAAGAGGCAGAAGGATTTGAGGCAACCTACATCCACAGAAGATCTGTGGTTCCTTCTCTAAGATCTTTGGAACAATCTACCTGTCAAGTGTGCAAGTGTACCGTCCTAGAAGAATTAATGCTGTTTTAAGGCAAAGGGTGGTCACACCAAGTGTTGGATTTGATTTGAATTTCTCTTCTGTTCATTTACTTTCCATTTTGTTAATTGATAACAAATAAACTATTAACACTTCGATTTCTGAAAGCATTCTTAATTTACAGCATTTTTTACACCTGCCTTAAACTTTTGCACAGTAGTGTATATATTTATTAGAATTGAGTCAGCTATAGTAAATGTTAAATATAACATGTAGCAGATAATTTGTTTTACAATTACAGGAAACATTTATATTTGAAAAACAGACTGTACAAAATACCTCCTACATTGTTCTTGTAAGTATTGTACAGTTCTTTTACTCGTCTGTAGCGGAATGCAACTTTCTCATCCAGTCCACACCGCCCCTGACACCAGTCGGTAAACACAACGTTGTGCTGCTTGCTGCTGCCCGAAAACCATCAGTGGCAAAACTGTAGGAACTGTACAAATGACAACTCTAATCAATTTATTAGACTAAAAAAACCAAACACATGTGTAAAAAAAAAAAAAAAAAAAGATCATTTTTAAGAAAATAGAAACATAAAATAAAATATATAATATGCCAGATATAGTGATTTGGTTGATTGACTGATGGAATTGACATTGGGAAGGCCTCAAAGACCCAGGCCTAGCAAAGTATAATAGCAGTCCTCTTAAAAAAAAATAAAAAATTAATAAATATATATATTTGCGCTCAAAAGTTTGCATACCCTGTCAGAAACCATTTATATTGAAAATATGATGGATCATGCAAAAAAAATTTTTTTATTTTATTTAAGAATAGCTATCATATGAAGCCATTTATTATCACATAGTTGTTTGGCTCCTTTTTAAATGAAAATGATAACAGAAATCACCCAAATGGCCCGGATCAAAAGTTTCCATACCCTGGAATGTTTGGCCTTAGTACAGACACACGAGGTGACACACACATAGGTTAAAATGGCAATTAAATGTAAATTTCCCACATTTGTGGCTTTTTAAATTGCAGTTAGGGTCTGTGTATAAATAGCCAATGAGTTTGTTAGCTCTCAGGTGGATGCACTGAGCAGGGTAGATACTGAGCCATGAGGAGAGGATAACTGTCAAAAGACCTGTGCAACAAGGTAATGGAACTTTATAAAGATGGAAAAGGATATAAAAAAGATATAGAAAGCCTTGAATATGCAAGTCAGAACTTTTCTTATTAAGAAGTGGAAAGTTCGGGCATCTCTTGCTACCAAAGCTAAGGTCAGGTAGACCAAGCAAAGATTGCAGCCACAACTGCCAGAAGAACTGTTCAGGATACAAAGAAAAAATCACAGTAATCTCAGGATAAACCTCAGGAGTTTCCAGAAAGAACCATTTCCTTTCCAATGCCACACAAAAAAAGGCCTGGTGAGGAGTATCAAGTTGTTGTCGGGCATATTGCAACTGGGCTTTTTTATAGATATTTTTTACTTATATATAATTTTAGTTCTGAATACTCAAAAAAGACCAAAAAATATTGATCCATACAGAACAGACAACAACCTATGAATGGTGAAAAAAGAATTGATGAAAGGCAAAATAAAGTGGAGAAAGGCTGATAGTATCAATCCACTAGTACCCGTGGCTGACTCATGAATATGTGATAGGTGTTTATTATACTCATCTTTGATTATGGCGTCACCCCATCTTACCAAATGTGCAGAATGATACTATTTGTATTTATAAAATCTTGATTGTTGTTCTCTTTGCTCTAATTCAGAAAACAAGACAGTGTATATGTCTGCATGTTTCTTACAGATAACTTTGTAGATATAGGGTTGAGTAACTAAAACTGCAGAGTACAAAATCTGGTGCAGCTTTGCATAGAAATTAATCCGCTTCCAGTTTTTATTGTCAAAGCTTAACTGAGAAAGCTCAAGTTAGAAGCTGATTGTCTACCATGCAGAGCTGCACCAGATTTGCACTCTCCAGTTTTAGTAAATCAACCCCATAGCCAGGGGCGGACTGACAACTCATGGGGCCCCTGGGCAATAGGGGATCATGGGGCCCCTTTGTCCTTGCCCAAACTCAAAAAAGCCTATGAAAAAGGTACCAGGGGCATCTCATGGGGCCCCCTACTGACCCCGGGCCCTCGGGCAGTGCCCAAGTTTCCAAATGGTCAGTCCGCCCCTGCCCATAGCATTAACTTGATTCTTTGCTTGTCATCCAAGCAGCCATTGGGGTTGGCTGGAGAGTGCAAAATCTGGTGCAGCTGTGCATGCTGCAAAATACTTATTGCAAGACTAAGAAAAAGGGTTGTTGAAATGTTTTAAAATATTATTTTATTGATTGATTAATTTATTAAAGCATGTGCTGCCATCTGTACATGTGTTTTTTTTTGCAATCCATATTTAATACATTTATGAACTTTAAGCACAGCACTGTGGATTCATTTTTTCAGCAATGTAAAGCTTTTTTGTATGGAGGGATAATTATTTGGTCTTTTATGTGTATAGTTTTTTGAAAGCAGTGGTACGGGTCTCTTTAATTTGTTTTATTTAGTACATTATTATAGTTTAAAATCACAATACCTCAAGTCTTGGCCATTGTCATCAGAGGACACATCATCCACATGGACCTGATCACATTCCTAGAAAAGAAGATGTACATTCATTAATATCAGACCATTGCCACATAGTATACAGATGTCTTTCAAGTGATTGTCATATCTAATGCCTGAGCATGCCTAAAACATTTTATACTGGAATATTGTGTTGTTTTATAAATTCAGTCTCAAACCAAAAATCTCTTAAAAGTGTGTTCTATTTTGAAATGACTAACGTACTAATGTGGGAGGTAACAGCATCTTGAAAGTCAGAAGTTTCATTTTTCTTTTAGGTGTATTATGTGCATCTAGCCAGGAGATGGCACCATAATACACATATTTACTGTACAATTTCAATAAAATGCCACAGAAATAGGAATGCGTTGTTATTATTAAATAGTTTCCTCATATACAACATTTAATTATTTGCACTGTTCCATGCTTCACAAGACATAATCATTAGATAAAGAGAGCACAAAACATTTTTGTAAATACAAAGAAACTTACTTTCTTTGAACTTAAAAATAACCCCACATAATTTTTTTTGCCCAAACTACTGGTACTTATAACTACAGGTTTAACCAACTACTAGATAGATAGACAGATAGATAGAAATAATACTAAGGTATTAAAGCATATAAAATATTCTGGCATTTAAATACCATTTTTTAAAGTGAATTTGTGTGCCCATTCATGTATTCATCTGTCGATCCCTTCCGGTGGTTTAGCAATGTTAAAGCGATTATAAAAGTTTTTTTTTCTTAAAATAACAAACATTTTATACCTACCTGGCCCTGAACCTCCTCTTCTGGGTCCCACGACAGCACTCTGTGCTCCTCATCTTCAATGTCTGCCACCACAGCAAGCCACTTGCTATTGTAGCAGATGTTCAGGGTCGTTCCTGAGCCGGAATCCTTGATTCTGCTTATTAAGAAAATTGGGCAAAAGTCATAAGTCTTTATCTGCATACTTTAGAAGAAAAGGTCAGATATGGTAGTCTCTACGTCTCTCTCATAGAAGGTTTCCGTAAAGCTGAATTTCAGATAAAAAAATTAATTTGAACATATTGCTCAAAAGCCATAGTGTTAACAGTGGGGTGGCTGCAGAGTGGTGAGGGGATTAGAGAAGAATAGTGATAGCAGGGGTAGGTGGGTATGTGGTAGAGTGGTGTGGGGGGGGGGGGGGGGGCAGAGTTTTGAAAGGGGACAGGTTTAACAAAGTGGTGAGGTGGGTCAGCTGAGTAGTCTAAGCAGGAGTTTGTAGGGCATAAAAAGTGAATTTGACTTCAGCACTCCTGAAAGTATCCCCACGAAACAGTATGGCAGGGAAATCCAGCGTATGCGTGGTAGTGGCCTGTCAGTACTGCCACTAACATGCTTGAGTTATCCGTGGCATATTACTAGCAGCGTATCGGGAGCACAGGAGTGAACTCCATCCCTTGCTCTCGGATTTTAATGTGCATGAGTAGGCAGAATTCTATTGCTCAAGAAAGGGGTAATTCAGACCACAAGAATGATAAACGGGACACACTTGAGGCGATTACAGCTCACATGTTTAGAGCAAAGACTACTGGGAATGAAAATGTCATTTTATGCAAAAAAGCTGCTATATTGATAGATGGAATCCTGATGCCATTTAACCGAAGTCCAGCAGGAAATTCTTTCAATATTTTTCCCTTTGTAAGTAAAATTGTTCATTTAAACTAAACAAACATTTCATATCTATTGCCATCTAACCTATTGTATAAATTAAGTAGGAAAAAAACATTTTTGTTTCTGTATTTCTCTCTTAATATAACTATAGGTTTCCTATATATTGTACATGCCAAAAAGGATGCACCTTGAATGGCAGGTATGTATCTCTTTGCACAGCATTTTCTGGGCCCTTTGAGAGACACAGCAAAAGCTTAAGAAAGAGAGTGCTGAGTGGTAGGTGGGAAGTAGGAAGTGGAGAGGGGTTGTTTGGAGGGCTGCTGAATGTTGCACCTCTTTTGAATGCTGAATACACTTGTGAAAATGAAAAAGTTTCACTGCTGGCTGGGCCCTGGGCGCTGCTATGTTAGTTATTTCATGCAACTAAGCACATTTCTTTTTTGTAATGGAATTACTGACCTGGAAAAGGAGCATGTGACTATTCTTTTGTAGACATGCACCTCTGTTTTGCTGCTGGTAAGCCTTTTGAGTTGAATAAAAGGCACTCTTGGTCCACAAAGTGCTTATGCTGAATCACCCACACCTCACAACTGGTGGAGGATGCAAGCAGGCTTTGAAAACTGACATTTAAAAGGGACTTTGAAAATGGAGGAAATTTTGAAGCAATTGATACTGGCACAGCAGCAGAATAATGAGGTGTAACTCCTGAATAAAGTAGATCTGCAGAGAAATGTGGAGGCTCTGCAAATGAACAAAGAGCCCAGATAACCACCATGAAAGAAACCACAGTAGCACAAGTAAAGGCTCTGCCTGAGGATGACAAAATTTGAGAGGACAGTAGAACAAGAAGGGTGGTCCTAAGCCAAATGGGCTGGCCTAATTACTCATTGCTCCTTTCTTGTCAGGAGACCTGAAAAAAGCATATTATGACCTCACTCCTGAGGATTCTATGATCTCTGACCACTTTAAACTTGATATTCTAATCTGTTTGGGAGTGACAAGGGCTACCAAGTACAGTGGATGCACCAATGGAGCTAACGATCAGATCAGCCACCTCAGTAGCAAATGCACAATCTGATCCAGTTGGTCACTAAGTGGTAGTAATCCAGACAGATTGTCAAGACCTTGACAGAACCATAAA